TTTTTTTGGTCTTTTTCAGACAGGGTCTCGCTATGCAGTTCAGGTTGGCCTTGAGTTCACTTTGTAGCCCAGACTGGTCTTGAACTTGCAACAATCCTCCTGCCTCAGCCTCCCAAGTGCTGGGATTACAGGTGTGTGCCACCACGCCCAGCTTTCTCTTATTTCATTGAAAATAAAGGTTTGTACTAACATTGTTTAGACAATTAAATGCTGATATCTTGTACTCTGAGTGGTTTAAAGATAACAATATGCAATATATTAACCATTGTTACCCTCCTATTACGTTGTTTTGAAATTTCATTTTTTTTCTCTTTAAAAAAAAAATGTCTTGGCCCATTTTTTAATCAATTGGTTTTGCTGCTATTGTTGGATTGTGAGGCTTTTTCCTGGACAAGATTTCGAACACTCTGCCCCACTCTGTCAGCTGGTTCCTCCCTGGAAAATACTGTCAGGCACAAAAACTGTGACTTCTTCCCTGGAAGGTAGAGCAAGTGTAGAGGAACAGGTTGAAGTAGGGGGGCATGTGTAACCACACAAGCAAAAGTCAGCAAACTGCTAGATCATATGACATCTGTGGTTAGGTTATCCCACACACAGCACCCTTAACTCACCACTGAATTTCAAGCTTATAGGAAGAATGGAAGTGGAAGGCTGTGAAAGAGTAAACAGGAGACCGCTGAACACACTGTGCATTGTTTTGAAAAGATCTTATTAAAACTGATAAAATAATAACACTGAAATAAGAACTCTTAGTGTATTAACAGAAATACTAATTTCTGGGTTTCCTTGCCAGTCCTTATATACATAAACAGAATTCTATAGAACTTTGCAAAATGACAGGCTTAACTGTTTAAAACAAATAACACTGTTAAAACAAATAACAAGTGGCCAAGGGCAGAAAGCACACAGATTTTGTTTCCTAACCACCACATTCCAAGTGAAAGACCCAGGGCTTCCTGAAGAAGCTCCAATTCCAGCCTGGAAAGGAAAAGACAAGCTGAGCCTGGTCCACCTGGTCCAGCCAGAGGATATAAAGAAAGGGCTGGGTTACATCCAAGGACTCAGGACCCAGATGAAACCCTACTGACCAAACTGAAGTGATTCAAGCAACAAAATGATAGTAACAGCCAACAGCCCAGAGACTAAAATGAGAGTTCATAAGCTGTGACGGTATGGTCCTGGATGTCCCTGAAGGTCGACGTGCTGATGGGCTGGTCACCAATGTGGCACTGTTGGGAAGGGGTGGAGCCTTTACACGAGCCTAGTCAAAGTCTTCAATCACTAGAGGTATGCCTTGAGGGGACAGGACACTCTGGACCCTTCCTCCTTCCCTTGCTAGGCCAGCAGTGAATAGTTTTGTCTACCACACATACCCACCATGATATGTCACACAGGCTTCACGCAACAGGATCAAAGGACCAACCAATGTTTGGCCGCAACCTCTAAAACTGTGGCAAAATAAACCTTTCCTTTTTATTTTTAAGTTATCTCAGTTATCTATCATAGTGACTGAAAGCTGACTAATATACAATCTTTTTTTTTTTTTGGAGACAAGGTCTCACCATGTAATCCAGGCTGCACTTGAACCCACTAAATTTCCCAGGCTGGTCTCAAACTCACAAAACTCACTACCCTCCTGCCTCAGCTTCCCAAGCCCTGGTATTATAGATGTGTACCACCATGCCCAGCTACACCATTAATACTTAAAGACAGACAGATGATAGATAGCTAGATAAGAAGATGAGAGAGTGAATCACTTCCTTACAGTAGAAACAGAACAGACCAACAGAGGGAGTGGCAGAGATAGAAAACTACCACGAGGCCCCACGTTGCCACACACACACTTCCTAGTGGCTATGATAAAAAGCAAGGACCCATACAGCCTGAGTCCTCTCCCTTCCACACACAAGGTAGCTGCTGAGGACAACCTGGGAACAGAAACTTCACAAGGGAGAGACCTGCAAACACTGCCTGCCCTACCAGGACAGAATGCCACACATCTCCTAGGGACACATGGCAGTTGCCTGAACTGAACTGACTTGACCCTTAGGAAGACTGGGAATACCACATCCAAGAGGTTCTACAGAACACCTGGCCTATGTTCTCAAAACACCAAGGTCAAGGACAAAGAAGGCTGGGAACAAGGCACAAAAACGAGGTAAATGTGAAATCTAGGGCCAAAACTGACATTCTTTTGCTATAAGGGACATTAACAGAAAACTGGCAATAGGTAAACAATGCACTGAGATGAAACAACTGTTTCACAACAAAGTTAATTTCTTGATTCTGATTACTGCACTGCAGTTATTTAAGAGACTATTCTTATTTCTAGAGACATCACAGTATTATCTCAGAAAATGCATGAAGTATTTACAGGTAAAAAGGGTTTAACTCTGCACTGGGCAATTTATGTTCATGTTTCAGAAAAAAAAGGCTATGTAACAGGAAGGAAGGGATGATTGTGGTTTTGGTAAAAGGAGTAAAGTATACAAAGGAATTCTCTGTAGAATTTTGCTGCTTTTCCACGCTAGAGGGATCATGCACCTCTTCAGGAACAGAGCTGCATATACTCCTGCAGGCTCACAGGAAAGCCTGGAGACTTGAGGTGTCCCTCACTCTGAGGCATATAACCATCATCAGCCTACATATGGGGCAACTTATGCTTCCTCACACCTTGAGAGCTCTCCCATAGAAATACAGAGTTCACCAACTCCCCTGCCTACCAAGAGGACACACAAGACCAGCACAGCAAGAAGAAACGCCCATGGGCGGGTAGATGGTAACAGAGCCAGAGATAAAGACTCACCAAACCTTAGCCCAATACCCAGCATGCTTCCAAGAGCACCTAACTCAGGACCTGGAGAATTCCCACACCCACAGTCCTCCACTTGTCAGCCCAAGGGTAAGAGATGAACACAGTGTTCACCTTAAATTCGAAGGCAAGCGAAAACAAGTGACACTGAGTCAAGTGGCCAAAAGGCCAGAGCAGGGCAGGGAACACAAAGATGTTACACACAAGGAAGGCACAGAGTGAAAGCTGGGGCCTCTTCAGCTGTGTAGAGCAGCCACATGTTCCAAACAGCTTTTTCTAGAGGGTACAGGCTCCAGATACACAACAGGAAAGAGAGCTGCTGTCCCCCTTTACCTGTGTGTGACTTCGTGGTGGCCATGTAGCATTGATTCTGAGGTAGCGACTGGTGAAGGGACGGGAAAGAGGGTAAAAGCTGCTGTCGTCCACAATCAGAAACGTTCCTACTGATCTCCTCTTTTGGTTCCTTATGGTCTCTCGCTTCCCGAACTTCTCTGGGGTCCTTGCTGGCTGCATGCTTCAAGATAAAAACAAGTAGTGACTGTGACTGTGTACAAGTAAATGGTTGCTCAAATAACATGCACCCAAAATCAGTTCTTTCTCCATTAATTCACCGCAAATGAAAGATAAAATGAGCCACTAAGGGAAGGCAGAGCGTTCACAAGGCCACACAGCACAGCTGTCCTCAAAGAAGCACCTACGCCAGGCATGGTGGCACATGCCTATAATCCCTGTAATCCCAGCACTTAGGAGGCTGATGCAGGAGGATCGTTGCAAATTCGAGACCAGCCCGGGCTACAAAGTGAGCTCAAGGCCAGCCTGAACTGCATAGCGAGATCCCATCTCAAAAAAACAAAAATAAACAAACAAACAAATAAATATTAGCAAGCTAAAAAATACCCCAAAACTCTCAGGAGTGTTTTCACAGTTTACCATGGCTATACTCTGTAACATTTCCAAAATAGCACGTGTTTTGTTCCACCATAGCTAATTATGCCACATTTTAAAATGATCTTCTACTCACAGTTCTGACAAAGCATCCCTTTTTCCTCTCACTGAGACTAGGGAGAAGTGGCCAAGATTGAGAACAACTGTAATTCAAAGCACTGGATGAATGTTAGGCTCCACAAAAGTAGGTTTGGGGGATTCAAGATACACTCCCTGAGGTTACACTGGGGTAAGCAGGCAAACAGTGGAGCTCCAGGAGAAAGGAAGCATAACCCCACATTACTAGTGAGAGCTGAAGGCTGTGCCCATTGTAGTGGGAGGCTGGGGAGGGGGTGCTCTCCACTGTGTCGTTGCAAAGGAGCTCCCTACTGTCTGTCTGTCTGCACTTTGCCTTACACTTGCATCTCACATGCAGCTGCTCTCTGTGCCTCATATACCTGCTGTCTTGTGCTCTCTCACACATCCTGCTGTCAATGTAGCACCTGAAAGCTTCTCAGAAACAGCTCTTATTTCCTTGATCCCAGTGAAGTTGCTCAATGTCTCACTGATATCCAGAACACAGAGGCTATGTGATGCTCTTGCTGGCCACTGACCTAGCAAATGGCTACGGTCTGAATGTGTCACATGTTGGGACGTAATCTCCAAATCTGTATGTTAATAGTATGGGGAGGCGGGGTCCTGGGGATGTAATCAGGGTACAGGAGGAGGCCATGAGGGCAGGGCCTGAGATGGTACAGACCAGAGACCTGGCTGCTTGCACAATCGCTCTGCCCTACCATATGACCCTCTGCCACTGCCACATCACAATGTAGTAAGAAGCCCTTGCCAGATACCATACTATGGCTGGTCTTCTCAGCCTCCAGAACCATGAGCTAAACTTCTACTCTGTAAATCACCCAGCAACAGAACAGAAAACAGACTGGCACAGGAACTGTCTTTGGATTCTAGCTGTGGTGACCTCAGCCCTATGGGGTTTGCTGTTGCTTCCCCCAGTGCACCCACCCAACTCACCAATCCTGTTGCCATAGGGCTTATGCTTTCCCCTGAGAGCCTTGCTTTCCCTTGAAAGCCTTAAAACTTCCTCCACTCTTGGAGTGCTCTTTCCTTTTGCTCTAAGGACTAACTCTCTCTTCCTCCTCCTCATCACAACTCAAATAGAACAGCTCCTTTTCCAGCCCTCCACTGGGTAACCAGCCTCAACACACAAAGCCCTGTTTCAAGGGAACAATGCAAAGCTGCTAAGCCTTTCTCTGCACACCAAGGCTGGGCACTGATGCTGCCACTACCCAAGTGCAGGACTCAGCTGCTACTCTTGTGCCACCTACCAGCTACCAACCAGACAGCAAATATACACTGGCCACCCCACCTCAGCTACGCTTGCAGACAGATACAAAATGGAATTTTAACTAACACAAAGTCTGAAGAGGAAACAGTCACACATAGCTAATCATTGTTTAGGTATAAAATCTACTCTTTCATTTAAAAGGTTATTTTCAAAATTCTAAACTATTAAGAACTGCTAAACTGAAGTGAGGATCTAACACAGCACAACCATGAGAAAAGAGTACTTGTGCACACAAAGAGGCCTTTGTCCTCACACAGCCTTACCAGCTGCCTGAACCATCACTGCAAGGCTCTGCACCCCAGATTCTCCCCTCTTGGCCTGGCCAGTTCCCAGGCAGTAGTGTGAGCTCTCATAGCTGGACATACATCACAACTCAGCACCAACTTGCACCACCATTAAGAACTGATCCCTCCCTCACAATGGAGGAGCAGGGTTACCTCCCTTCCTGCATCTAGAGCCCAGTGCTAGGCACATGTAGAAGGAGCAGGGTGCAGAAACAGACCCAGAGGAGAAAGCATGGGGCTGCCAGCCAACTCCTCCTGCAGTGTGCACAATTCAGTTATGAAAGAAATTAGAGAATCTCCAAAATCAGGGCCAGAGCTCTTAGATATCACACCAAGAGCAAAATCCAGAAAAGGAAACTAACAAACTGAACTTCATCAAAATGAAAAAACTATCCTCATTTTGACACTATACTCTAGCTACGAAAGATGCTACCATGAAAGAAGACTGGAGGAAGGGTCCATAGGATGTCTCTGTCCCTGCTCTTCCCCTTATTTGAGACAGGGTCTCGTACATAGTTCAGGCTGGCCTCAATCTAACAGCAATCCTCCTGCCTCAGCTTCCTAAGTACTAGGATTACAAGCATGCACCACCATGCCCAGTCGTACTATTTTTGTAGCATCCTGATAGTCTATAATTATTTTAAAATTTCCCAAAGCAGTGACATGCTCAGAAGAATAGTGTGAAAGGTTAAAACTGAGTCAGCTGACAAAGAGGGGAGCTGAGGAGCACCTGGGCCAGGGCCAGGGCTACCAGTGGGTATCACATAAGAAAGCATCTGAATGGCAGCCTACCAGTGGCTAAAACACCTAGAGGTAATGGGACCTCATGGCGGTTGCCAGTGCAGCTCGAGGCTACACCCATCTCCACCCCACAATTGCAGTACCAACCAGACAGCCACACCCAGTGCTCAGTCAGGTCGGTCCACTGCCATTGAAATAAAAGCAAGCACATCCCAAAAGGGGAAAAGTCAGTACTGGTGGGGAAAAATGACCATGCACAAAAGCTATTCTGTCCAAACAGAACACCTCTGAGGAATGAAAATTTATTAACAGACTCTGAAAAAATTAAAATCAGTATGTCTTGAAGGATAAGATGAAACATGATATAGAACTAGTTTTAATTAAAAGAACTAATCAGGTATTGAGCATGAAAAAAGTCAAAATCAACACATGGAATGAACAGAAGAATGTAAAGTGGAATTGGACACAGGCAAGGCTATCCAGAGATGGAAACCATCCTAAAGGAGATGGAAAATCATACGCAATATTTTCCTGGAGTTGACAGACAGAAATACTCAGACTGGAAGAGCTGATTGAGAAAAAAAATGGTCCTGGAGCCCTAAAGTTATAGAGGAAATAGCAGATGGTCTATACAGGAAGGACATGTGAACTTCAGAATGCCACCAGCAACAGCAGATACTCAGAAGTCCAAAAGAAGGTGATCATAACCCAGAATACATCCCCAGCCAAATTAATACTAAAGCAAAATAACAACACTACAGACATTTTGAAAAAAATTATTATGCAAGATATAGTAAAGAACCAAAGAACAGCACATTCCATGCTAAATTCAGGCAAGCATGGCCCATGCTAAATGTATGCAAGACTCATTTCTTTTTCAAGGTAAGCCTCAGCCTGATGCACTTCAGGTCCTTTGTCTTTGACTTCATCACACTCAGCCCTAATCAGCTTCATTTCTACTCACTTCTCAGTGAGACAGTGGGTGCTAAGTTCTGCTGAGCTGAACTGATACCTCTGGGCCCACAGCAGATGAGAAAGCAGTCTCCTCAACAGCGCTTGACATGTCTCCACACAGAGGCAAGAGAACCCTTCCCAAAGAGCCACAGCAAGGGAAGTGTAAAAGGCACCATCTCCTGACTGCTCACAAGCCTGGAAGTGATGACCTACCACGCAACCACTGCCATTCATTGCTTTTTCTCTTTAATACACTGAAGGCTACTTGCCATGAGTAAGACAAAGGAGAAGAAAGGAAACAGCAAGAGGCAGCACAAAATTACCAGGCCCAAAATAGACTTCGGCATAGTCTTGCGTGCCCTGTGAACCTTGACATCAGTGCCAGGAGTAGCAGGTTTCCGGTCCTCTGCATCTGCTCCCCCAGGCCCAGGCACTGGCACTGCAACCGGAGCCTGAGGAAGTGCGCTTGGAGTCCTGCCTCTACCAGCCACCCCAGGCAAAGTTTTTGCAGCATGGCCAGGAAGGGAGGAGACCAAGGTGCTTGGAGTCCTTGAGGGCTGCCCCTGGAGAGCAGGTTTGTTTAAGAAGTATCCATTGCTACCAATGACTGATGTCTGAATGAAGTCATCAGCAGAGACATGGTTCTGCTTCCCCACTTCCGTGTCTCTTTCCAAAACCCCATTCTCCGCTATCCGGGCTGCTCTGTGGCCACCTTCCTGGGGGCTGGCTCTGGTGCTCTCCTGAGTATGTTTGGCTGCGTCCGTGTGGCTGGTGTCGCCGCTCTTTTCACAGGCCCCATTTGTCTCCCCATCTGCAGCCATGGGAGCCTCTCCCGCTGGTTTCTCAGCAGGACCTTCATCGGCAGCCATAGGAATATCTGTGAAAGAGGAGAGAGCATCACCATGGCTGACAGCTGGCCTCCACGGCCCACCACAAACAGAAGATGCAGTCCATTCAGATGGCTTCCCTAAAACATCTACTGAAATCCTTTCATCTAGACACAAACCACCACTTAAGTTCAAATAGAGTAAATATTTTAAAAGCTTTTTTTTTTTTTTGGTACTGGGCATCAAACTTAGGACTTTGCACTTGCCAGGTAGGTGCTGTGCTGCTGAGCAAAATTATCCCTGGCCCAAAATTATTTAAATTAACTTCTAGTTAAGTCTGAAGCGTCAGCCAGGCATGGTGGCGCACATGTCTGTAATCCCAGCACTCGAGGCTGAAGCAGGAGGACTGCTCTGAATTTGAAGCCAGCCTGGGCTACAAAGGGAGTTCAAGGCCAGCCTGATTGCATAAAGACACCTCGCCTCAAAAAAAAAAAGTCCAAGGAGTCACCACAGTATGAAAAGCATGAGTGTTGTTAGAGATAAAAATAGAACTCCAGGGCTGGGCGTAGTGGCATACACCTGCAATCCTAGCACTCCTGAGGCTGAGGCAGGATGATCACCAGGAGTGATGATCTGGTGGCCAGCCTGGGCTATACAGTGAGCTCAAGGCCAGCCTGAACTACATAGCAAGACCTTGTCTTAAAATTAAAAAAAAAAAGAAAAAGACTTCACAAGCAGCTTCATACAAATAAGCAGGGAGATGGGGTCAGTGAGAGGGCAGCTTCTAGGATACCTCTCTTTGGGAAGCTGTCTCCTCTGACAATTCAGTCCCAACTAGGATGATCAGAAACAAGAACACATTCTGCATCAGGAGACAGAAGAATGCACTTAACCTGATGATGGGCTGAGGCAGGAGACACATGACTACATCCCTACGGGAGGAGAAGGTTCAGACAGGCCAGAGCTCCACGCTCTCCACCTTGTTCGTACACTGCTGTCACAGCCATTGCCTCACACTTTGTATTCTTTGTTGATCATATTAGTTTTCTGTCCTTCTACCCTGAGGACACAGCACATCAACAGGACTAGTGCACATCCTGTATGCAATTAATAATCTTTTCTAAATGAATCAGCAGTTATTAATCAATTTTTTGCACCCTTAACAAAACAATAGGCAGAAACTTCCTTAACTTGGTGAAGGCTATATACCCAATTCTAAAATAAATGCATTTTTACTCAGAAGTGGCAAATTAATTGTGTATGAAATCAGAAATAATTTACAGACATATATTAATACTGTTTATCATAAAAGAAAAAGAGCTACTGGGTGACACTAAAAAGGGAGAAAGAGAAGGGTGCATACTATCAATAGAGGGGCTGGTGGTCTTGTTGCACCTGATACATTAGAAAATTCCAAGAAATAGAGGAGGAGTAGAGACAGGAAGGGGCCAATAGGTAGGAAACGAATACCAGACAGGTCTTAAGAGGTCTCACAAATGGTGAAGCATTGGTGGGGGAAGACAGCATGAGCAGATGAACCCCAGAGCTGGCAGAGAGCACCAGGTTGCCACAGCACCCAAGAAGCAAGCAGGTAAGAGGCCTCAACCTGGCTGAACACCTACCCCCAGATGTCGTCAAGGTGAGAGCAGGATGCAGGCAAAGGTCAGACCTGGGCCAGAGCCCCCACAGGTCCCAGCCATCAGCCTTGCAGAGGTGATCCAGTCAAGACACTGCATTCCAAGTTATCTGGCCAGCACCTCTGAAGCATTGTCAGGTGGACCATGTGTACACTCAGGGCACTATAGGTGCATTTTAGCACATGCAGAACCAAGTGTCCATACCTACTCCTTACCCAACAACCACCTGCCCACACTCCCTCCCACTGCCCTTTCAATGCCTCTCCCTAGGTCCTCCAGGCCTCTACTTCACCTTGGCTAGAATGTCATATAAATGGAAGCACACAGCACGTAGCCTTTGAGGTATGGCTTCCTTCACGTGGTAAAACAAATGTAAGATTCATCCCTGTTATTGCATGGAACCACGCAGGCCAACCTGCTCACCATCTCATTATGTGGCTATACCATAGTCTGCCTATCCAGCTGTTATCATGTGAGGCCTGGATGGGTGCCAGTTTTCAGTGGTATAAATAAAGATCCTGTAACATTCCTGAGACCGTTCACCTTCACTTTCTGGGTATACTTTAGGGTAAGGATAGGTGGAGGTTTTGCTTTTCATACTTGTTTCTTCCTTCTCAAGCAGATCTTTCCGTGTGTGTGTGTGTGTGTGTGTGTGTGTGTGTGTGTGTGTTTGTCTCTGTCTGTCTGTCTGTCCCTCTGTTCAGGAATACAAAGAGAAGGAATTATACAATAACCCTAGGTAAAACTACAAAGTCAGCAGCCCTGGGACAGATACTAGGCAGACAAAGTCACTTCTCCAGCCAGCAAACACAGTCCTTACCTTCTCTCAGCAGCTCAGTTTTCATGCAGCAATCCTGCTTAGTTTCCCCCTTGGCCGGAACTGCCTGCTTTAAAAACAAAACAAAAAGCCATCAACCTGGATATAGCAGAGACAGACTGTACAACCTCCTAGCATGATTTCCCTAAAATAAATCACAGTTACAAAACTCACTATCAGATTCTCAGGGTTGAGTTCTTCAATCTATAGATAGCAGTTACCTTCAGGAAGAGGGCAGCATTCAGAAAATAGTCCAAAGAAATGTCCACCTATTCTGTAGTTTTGGAAATAGTTTTTTAACAATAAGAGTGCTTTGATGTATTATATAATTAGAAATGCGAAATGCTTTGTTATGTCACAGAAATGCTATAATTTATTTTAATATGCATTCTGCCGCCAACAATAATTCACCTAAGTCAGTAGTGGCAAACCTATGGCACGCATGCTACAGCTGGCTGTTTATCATTGAAAGTTCTAAAAGGCTCACCCATCACTAACCTTAGTATTTCCAATGTTTAAGGAAAAAAAAAAAAGTTACAGAAATGTTTTGTTTTTGTCTTTTTGAGACAAAAGTTCAGTGGGCCTTGAGCAGTCTGCAGTTCAGACTGGCCTTGAGCTCATTTTGTAGCCCAGGCTGTTCTTGAACTCCCAAGAATCCTCCTGCCTCAGCCTCCCCGAGTGCTGAGATTACAGGCATATGCCACCACGCCCCGTGAGATTTGTTTTTTAAGACAAAAAACTCATCTTAAAGAGATTTAGAGTGGTTGGAGAAGTCAATGTAAACACACAAAAATGCTCTTAATCAGGTCTTTACAGATGCAGATGGAGTAGTAGCAGAACATTAGCAAAGGTCCTGCACACATTTGGGTGAAAAGATGCAGACCACTCCGGTATTGGGCTCCCAGAATCTAAGGGCCTAACAGCCATCACACTTCTGACAACTTCTGCAATGTTTTCTCCAAAGACACCAGGAAATTTTCTCAGAATGTTCCCACTGAACTTTGAGCTCATTGCTAATTCTACTTCACACCACATCTGGCTCCCAAGTGCACAGCCATTACCCATTTGTCACTTTGAGTCCCCAACCATGATATCATCCATCCTTCCTCAATCCTGCTGAAAACAAATGTCTCACTTCAGTGTTTCCCAAATGCTCCCACCAGCAGCCTTCTTGGGAGGGGCTGATAACTTCATTACACCTCAGAAACATAGGTCAAGAAAGGATGTGAGCAGGGCCAATCTCTCCTTGGCTTCTGGTGTAGCTCAGCTTTTACTGTATACTGAGCACTTTAAAGGTCCCTGAAAGGGCCTGTTTTTTGAGGTGCACACATATACATTCAGGGAGGGTCCACAGGGACTGCCTGATCCAGCCTCACAAGCCTCTACCTCCACCTATACATGTATTTCACACAGGACAGTCTTAGTCTGCAATTGATGGGACCTGGGGGACATCTGTAGTCATCTCTTCCTAGCACTTGGAGTGAAGGTCAACCACTATGACTGAACACTCATCATGTTCCAGGCAGACAAAAAACCTCAGTGGTTCACAGCCCCTATCCTAGCAAACTTGACATTGAGTGCAGGGAGCAGGCTAGTTTAGTGGTTTTTACATCTTCAAAGGTTTTTACATCTTGTAAACAACAAAGGACAATATGTAACAGACTTCTGAGGTCAAAGTCACCTGTGAATCTTTTCAGAAAAAGATTCCTCTCCTCCACTATCCTCGTTTTTTTTTTTTTTCTTTTCTTATTTTTGACTTTTTGAGACAGGGTCTCACTATGCAGTTCAGGCTGGCCTTCAACTCACTTTGTAGCCTAAGCTGGCCTCAAACTCACAGCAATCCTCCTGCCTCAGCCTCTCAAGTGCTGGGATTACAGGCGTGCGCCACCATGCCTGGCTAGATTCTTGTTTTAGCAGGGGAGAAGGAGCAGAAACGAACAGGTTAACCTGTAAGAGCACAGAGTGCTGTGTAGTCTCTAAGCTATACTTGTGTAGGCACAGCCCGTCCACCACTCCTCCCATCCGCCCCCTGCCCTGTCTTACTGTCCTACCAACTAGCTCTACTAGTCCTTTCCCCCACCACATCCCAATGCCCACCATGTAGGAAGAGGAATGATAGAGCCTTCCCAAGGATCAGGAAGGGTCTGGGCAGACCCACAAGCCTCTACCTCCACCTGTACATGTTTTCCACATAGGATAGACCCAAATGATACTGAAAACACCCAAGAGGCACAATCAGTATCTGCTGCCTGAAACTAGGAAAGGCCAAGACATAGCCACTCTGTGATCCTTGTTCAGGGTCGGCACAGAGTAGGGCAGTGCCAGGGATGCACATGGAAAGCTCAGCCCAGGACCAGAGCAGGAAGTAAAACTGAAACTCAAATGCTCTCTGTGGTTGAACCCACATTTTATCTAACAAGAGGGAACATGTTCTCATCACTTTTGCAAAGGGACCAGCAACCTATACAATGCTCAGAACTCCTGATATGGGTGGACACCGAGCTAGACAAGGACTGCAGATGGGACCTACAGCCCAAAACATAACAAGTTCCATCCCACTGCAATTCTTGTTATTGTCACTTGTTTTTCACACCCATACTTGCAATGACAGAAGCAAACAGATCCACTGGCAGACTTCAAATCCTGATCCATACCCAGCTCATGGTACAGAAATGAAATCTTGACAACGAAAAGGCCCTCTTGAGCTGGGTGTGGTGGCACACACCTGTAATCCCAGCACTTGGGAGGCTGAAGCAGGAGGATCATTGCAAGTTCGAGACTAGCCTGGGCTAAAGTGAGCTCAAGGACAGTCTGGGTGACCTGCTTCTGTCCGCTGCAGAGGAGCCTTACCACACACCTGAAGGAGGAAGAGAACTGGTTTTGGGCACAGAAATTACTGCCAATAGCAGTATAAACAACAAAAACTCTAACCACATCAGAGTCCTCGAATCAACAGCCCTTGGAAACAACAGATGCACCAAGAATTAATTGCAACTTGAATCCTATGTACCATCTCTCCTAACAACCAAAGCTCCTGAAGAAACGGCCTTTGCCAGATTGGGGTAAGCAAAGTATAAATCAAGTTCAAAGCACCATGTACTGCCCAAGCAAGAAAGTGCTGAAAGGATGACAGACATGTCACAAGAACACTGTAAAGGCTAATTAATGGGGTTCCTACTGGCTAAATCTGAGAAATTCAAAAAACAAAAAGGAAGGATGACAGTAATAGACTGTAACCCACTGAACACAATGAGGACAGCATGAGTGCACATTAACATTAAACAGATGGATGATTAGTAAGAACACTGCCATCCTGAAGGACACTGATCATGGAACCTCAGGCCACACCACCACCTGTACTCTGAAGATTGGAATTAGGTGCTACCCTCACAAAGTGACAGTAGCCATGGCATGAAGAGAACCACTGTGAGGTCACCTCTAGCTACGGTCACCTCATGCCCACAAGGCACACTATGGAGCTCCCCAGACAAAAGATATTGATGAGCACACCTCCCAAGACCTTGCTCAAAACTAAAAAGCCTGAGGGAGGCCAAAGTCAAGTTCAAAAAAAGGTGTAAGGTGGGTGCCTCAGTCACTTTCCTGTCGCTAAGACACAATGTTGGGCACCCATAACATACTGAAGGACAGAGGTTCATTCTGGCCCCCAGTTGTTGGTCCACAGCCAGCTGGCTCCAAGGCAAAAAATGCCATAGAAGAAGGGCCTCTGCCAAGGATTGCTGCTCATTCCACACAAGCCAGAAAGCAGAGAGCGAAGGGAGGAGCCACAGAAAGACGCACCCTCCTAGGTTACACCCCCGCTGACCTGCCTCTTCCAACCAGGCCCTGGGCCTAAGGAGCTACTCAGCTCATCAACACATGAACCCAGTGGTAAGTACAGAACCCCCACAAGCCAATCACCTTCCACACACAAAATAATTGGGCGGGGAGGCCACAGTTTAGATCTAACCCATAACAAAATGCAACAAGTGATTCTTCCAAAAGCTTTGGTATTAAATGTTTTTCAGTCATTGAGAATCTTCAGGCCGGACATGGCGGGGCATGCCTATAATCCCAGCACTTGGGAGGCTGAGACAGGAGGATCGCAAGTTCGAGACCAGCCTGGGCTACCTAGTGAGTTCAAGATCAGCCTGAACTGCACAGTGAGACCCTGTCTCAAAAAGACCAAAAAATATAATCCCAGCACTCAGGAGGCTACAGCAGCAGGACAGCTCTAGTTCTAGGTCAGCCTAGGATGCAAAAGCAAGTTCAAGGCCAGTCTGAAGGACATAGCAAGATCCTGTCTGAAAAAAAAAACAAAACAAAACAAAAAAAAACCCACAGGTGTGGAGGCACATGCCTGTAATTCTAATATTCAGGAGGCAGGAAGATTACAAGTCCCACCTGAACAATTTAGTGAGACCCTGTCTCACAAATAAAAACAAAAATTTTAAAAGGGAAGGGGAGAGGAGAGGGGGGAAAAGGAAAGAGAAAGAAGGAGAGGAAAAGGGAAGGAAAGTGAAGTGAAGGGGAGGGGAGGGGAGGGGAGGGGAGAGAGAGGACAATAAGAACAGGACCGGACTCTATGTCTGCCTGCTGTGCATATTGTCAGACCGGGAACAGAGGACATTCACAGGATAAAAGACACAGGGTGGTGAACCAGGAACCATGACTGAATGTGAAATATCTATCTGTTTTTGTGAGACTTACACTAAATATTCAAGAACAAACCTCAGGTCCACTTCAAACTCAGGTTGAAAAAAGAATTCCTAACCAGAACGTGGCATTTCTAGAAACTGTGAGGCTTTTTCAGTCTTTCAGATATAAAATTCTAAACAAAAAGATAAGCAAGATGAAAGAAAAAGAGTGAACAGCTTACTAAACAGCCACAGTGAAAATGTATGCAAACTAAGGTGGGTGGGGTCCAGGACCAATGGCTGGAGTAGGTACCTAAGAACACCAACTCTCTCTTAAAACAGAGAGAGAACTACAGAGTCCAAAAACTCTACTTTTCTTAAATATGGTTTTAAAAAGGAAAATATTGCCAGGCATGATGGCACATACTTGTAATTC